AGTGGATGTGTTGGTGAATGTGTCAGTCGGTATGTGGATGTGGTGGAGAATGTGTCAGTCGGTAAGTGGATGTGTGGGTGAATGGTGTCAGTCGGTAAGTGGATGTGTGGTGAATGTGTCATGTCGGTAAGTGGATGTGTGGGTTGAATGTGTCAGTCGGTAAGTGGATGTGTGGGTGAATGTGTCAGTCGGAATGGATGTGTGAGTAAATGTGTCAGTCGGTTAAGTGGATGTGTGGGTGAATGTGTTCAGTCGTAAGTTGAATGTGTGGGTGAATGTGTCGTTCGGGTAAGTGGATGTGTGGTAAAATGTGTCAGTCGTAAGTGGATGTGTGGGTGAATGTGTCAGTCGGTAAGTGGATGTGTGGGTGATTGTGTCGTTATGTATGTGGGGGAGGAGTGTAGATGGATTTGCATGTGTGATTCCGTCTGTGTGGACAGATGCATATGTTGATGTAGGAGTCATGTGAAGCAGATGTGTGTATTGCGCAGGTGGATGTATGAGTGGCTGCATGTGTGGATAATATAGGTGTATGGGTGGGTTTTGGGTGCATGTAGGAAGGTAGGTATGTTGCTGGATGTGTGGGTGAGTGTGTGGGTGAATGTGAGCGGATGCTTAGGTGAATGTGCTTAGATATGTGAGTGTATATGAGTACGTGTGGATATGCGGGCGTGTGTGGATGGGTAGATTTAAGTGGATATGTTTGTGTAGGGAGGTATGGGTGAATACGGGTCATTTGTGGGTGAGTGAATATGAATCATGTGTGGGTGGGTGTATATGAGTCATGTGTGGGTAGATGTATATGAGTCATGTGTTGCCGGGTGTATATAAATCATGTAGGTGGGTGAGTTTATATATGGCTGAGTGAATGTGTAGGTGTGCATGAGTAGACATGTGGTTGATCATGAGTGAATGTATGGGCGACCATGAGTGTTTGGGTGAGTATAAGTAGAAAATACATAGGCATTTTAAGTCATGTATGTATATGTGTTATGTATGTATTCTTCGTCATGAATAATGCATTTACTTTATAAATCATTTGTATACACTATGTATTTTGCCTGTGATGTATGAATGATACATCCAATTTACAGGTCACGTGTGTATGTTGTATGAATTTTATAAATCACGTGTGTATGTTCGTGTTTTACAATCACGTGTGTATAATACAAGTTTGTTACAAAGCTACGTGTGTATGATACATGTATTTTACAAAGTTACGTGTGTTTGATACATGTGTTTTACAAAGCTACGTGTGTATGATACATGTGTTTTACAAAGTTACGTGTGTATGATACATGTGTTTTACAAAGTTACGTGTGTATGATACATGTGTTTACAAAGCTACGTGTGTATGATACATGTGTTTTACAAAGCTACGTGTGTATGATACATGTGTTTACAAAGCTACGTGTGTATGATACATGTGTTTACAAAGCTACGTGTGTATGATACATGTATTACAAAGCTACGTGTGTATGATACATGTATTACAAAGCTACGTGTGTATGATACATGTATTCCTGGTGGTCAAGTGAGAAGTATTCAAGTCTTGGACGGGATTTCATTACTCATCCTTTGTAGTCAAACATTTAGTATCAGATTTTTAAAACTTTCTTTGTGTCCCTGTCCCACAGAAACTGACGGGAAGGTCAAGACAGCCTGAACCTCTGAAGTTCTGTTTAGTGTTTCACAGTGTTCAATGTCCCTTGTGTTGAGTGTGTGTGTGTGTGTGTGTGTGTGTGTGTGTGTGTGTGTGTGTGTGTGTGTGTTTGGGGTTAATACTGAGATCTGAACATGTGATAGAATCGGGCATCACTACTTTAGCCTTCAATACACGGAGAATGTGTGTGTTCATTACAGAGTATATGTATCTAATACAGGAGTATATGTACCTAATACAGAGTATATGTTCCCAATACTGAGTATATGTACCCAACACTGAGTATATGTACCCTACATTAACATCTAATCTATGTTTATGTATGCAGCTCGCCCATGTTGCACGGACTGACTACCTGTGGGTCATCTATGTTACGTGTTGACTCATATTTTTAATCCTGTTTTCTGTGAGCATTTTCCCCTCACTCATGAAGTTCCTTTATCTCTGCCTATTTTTTTCCTGCATTTATTCCACTTAATTTATTGTATGAGGATAGGAAGAGAAGGAAAATTAGAGAAAAGAGAAGATCCCTGTTTCTCTTAATTTGATCTAACATTCAGTTGGGTGTGGAAATGGGCTTCATTAATTAAGCACTCCACACTAGGAATGGATTCTTAACCCCACTAAAGCACCAGCATCCATAACACTGGGTGTTATGGATGCTTCAGTTATATGTTGTTTATCATGTCTGTTGCTTCTTAATTTCCCTTTATTTCAATCACGAAACTGTTGTGATTTTTTCCCTTCTTTTTTGTTTAAATTGAGTGAGAGAAGAGAGAGAGAGAGAGAGAGAGAGAGAGAAAGGTGTGTGTGTGTGTGTGTGTGTGTGTGTGTGTGTGGAATCCACACGATGATTTGCAATAACGATTTTTCATATTTAACCAACAAACTGAACGTTCCATTCATTATGGTATATTGTACGTTTCACATATTGACTTTTCTGTCTCTCCTTGTCAAATTTAATTATACTGTTTGCTATTCCAAATCCATAGCTCAGATTGTTTACAGTTTTTTTTTTTCACGTAGGTAAGTTCAGCGGAAATACTATTAATAATAATGCTATTGAAATAATGAGTAAATATTTTGTTTATCTTTTTGCTTAGCACATCCGAGAAAGTAAGAAAATCAATGGCAGGGTTGTGATGGGCATGCTGAGGGCGAGACCGACGGTAAATAACAGTGTGTGTGACTGAACCTCGACTGGTGTATGATTGAACCTTGATGGGAGCAAGGTTGAGGAATCATTTGATAACCCTGGCACTGGAGGAATCAATTGACGATCTCAGTTCAGGAGCAATCACTTGATAAACCCGGTACACCAAAGATCATCAGTTGATGTTCTTTGGTGTCCGACTGCACTACGCATGTGATGATTCTTATTGTTGAGGTTCGATCGACTTACATCTGGCCATCCTGTTGAACGTATGAGCCCTTCTTGGCCTGAGCTGTACCTCCTGGAGACCGGGAGGAAATATTTCTAACTGGACGTATAAAGAAACTTTTCCAGGAACGAAAGGTGAAGTGTGTCGCTAAAAACTCTGTCAGAGACGCCTGGAGAGTCAAAGAATATTCGCACTGCGGTGTAAAGAGAACTGGTGTTGGGTGCCACACACAGTATACAGAGACGGCAAATGTTTGGTGCCGGAGTGTAGAGACGGTAAATAGAGGAGGTAAAGGTCCAGAAATAAATGATGTTGGATTATTCCACCATGCCCAGAGCAAAGCGAGGCTTTCACACCCCACCACAATCAGTAAATGATTTTAGCTGGAAGTTGTGTTTGTTGCTGTTGGACTTAAGCACCGCCACAGCTTACGCCGAATTTTACGTTAGTTTATGGCCTCTGTATTATAATAAGTACTGAACCTTAGGTTATAGTATCCGGGCAGGAAACAGTGCTCAAATCTTGGCTAAAATATTATATGGAACAATGTTCTCAAACAGGAAAGTCGTACCTTTCCATGCGAGACCCAGGCAGAACGAAACATCCACACTCTACCTGAGTCGGTGACCGGCTTTCCCCTCATTCCCCAAAGCCGTAGAAAGGAAAATAAGAGAAAAGAAGACGATGTCCTAAAAAACTAAGAGAAATCTGGCTCTGTCTTGATCCTGAGGACAGAGCCAGACATCCTGCACACCACCAAGGCCGGCGCAGCAGCCCTAGACAAGAGCAGCATACACACACTAGTCATGCAACAATAGCGACGAGCGATAAAAGATGAAAAATAACATCATCTCCCCCCTGTGGTTATTTTGCACACCATGTAGTGTTTATATGGTGGAACAGAAGTTGTGTGTGTGTGTGTGTGTGTGTGTGTGTGTGTGTGTGTGTGTGTGTGTAAACCTGGTAAAGGCAAACCAGCGTATCCATAAAATTGATGTTTCGTTCCTTATAATCCCCTTAAATGTTTATGCACTCTGTTTGGTGGAGAGATATGACCATTTGTTTGATATTTTTGAAGGAAAGTACACGACTCGCCTCAGATATCTCGTAAGATGTTTCACCATTGATGATGGTACGTATAAAATAATACTACATTACTTATTTTATATATATCCTTATTACCTTGTATTCTATATTTGCTTCGTAATCCCCCCCCCCCCCACTGTACAGCTGGTATTAATTGTATCTTCGTTTCCGCTCCACACCGTGTTAATTTAATGTGATTCACCTAATGTTTTTTCTTCCTTTTATTAACACTATTTATCTCCTGTTGTGCATGCAGCTACAAGTTGATTCTTAGTGAGAAGACGTTGTACATAGCGATGGAGGGGTTGTGACATAGTACTGTGTATTGTGAGGTGAATGATGCGACTGTCAGTCCTAGTGTGTCTCATAGTCCCGTGTGAGGCTGCTATGTGTGTGTGTGTGTGTGTGTGAGAGAGAGAGAGAGAGAGAGAGAGAGAGAGAGAGAGAGAGAGAGAGAGAACGCATGCGTATTTGCTCGTTTTAAGTTTACTTTAGCTACAAATGTATGTGTATTTTGCTTTAAAATACAGTACTCTGTACCACCGTGTATTTATATAAATATTTCGTGGTTTTCTGCAACATTTGTATGTATGCAATAAACACACATTTATATGTTAATTTCTTAAACGAGACTGAAAGCTCCCAGAGTTGAATGAACTGTTGAAGCTCGCTAGGCTGTCAGACTATGACTGTCAGTTTACATGGAGATGTGACACTGGATAGCGTGCTTGTGCGCGTGCGTGAGCAGACGAGCGTGCTTGGGAGCGTGTTTGGGAAGGAAGGAAGGGGCAGGGGAGGGCGCACGCTACCTTGGAGGTCTTCAAGAAGATACAACTAATAATATTTTTTCTCCTCTCCCGGTTTTGCAGAGGGAAGCCCGTGGTTCAGTGACCTTCAAGATCGTCCCGTCGTACAGGAGCGCTCCGCCCCCCTGCGAGGTACGTCATACCTATACATGCCCATACCTGCCCATAACAACCCCCCGTTCTTCCCTCAACCCCTATTTAATACCCTGCATCCCCTACATAGCTGGTCACTGAGCTAATACTTCTCATGTCAGTCAATGTAGGTGATTCCTTGACATATTCATGCAGCTGTTTATGTACCGGTCTCTTGTGTGTTTATGTACCGGTCTCTTGTGTGTTTATGTACCGGTCTCTTGTGTGTTTATGTACCGGTCTCTTGTGTGTTTATGTACCGGTATCTTCTACGTTTAGTGTGATATATTAAAAAAACTAGACGACTTGGTCTGTGTTAGGGAGAGCCATACACGTATTTCCTGTGTTAGGGAGAATCATACGCGTATTTTCTGTGTCAGGGAAAATCATACGCGTATTTCCTGTGTTAGGGAAAATCATACGCGTATTTCCTTTGTTAGGGAGAGCCATACACGTATTTCCTGTGTTAGGGAGAACCATACAAATATTGTCTGTGTTAGAGAAAACCACACTACGTTATTCTATGCTAAAGTAAGCCAGATTACTTTGTTTTGGTCTACAGTGAACTATACTAGTTTGTTCACTCTTAAGCAACTTCGGACTAGTGGTTGTAAATGGATTGCTTATAACATCAGGCTGTGGATAAGGACACTTGTGTACAGGTCGGGACATTTATTAAAGGAGACTTTTTCAACTAGTGGCGAAACTAATGAAACTTCTGTTGGCGAAATGTTTTCTTTCATGTCCTGAACTGTACATGTGTGTGTCCTTGTCCAGACTAAATCGTTGAGAGCCAAAGAAAGCCAAATTATTTTGATCTGCGCTAAAAGTGAACCTTACTAGAAGATCATAGTAGTTGATTCTATGACTAATCTCGTTCTATGGCTAATCTGGTTCTCCGACTAGCAGCTAGCTGATAGCAGTGGTTCACTGTCCTCCAGGACTGCCTTTCTAATGGTGTCGTTCCTCATTGTAAATTATAATGTACCACTCCAGTCTGTTTGGATGAGTTTGCTAGGGAATCACTCCAGATGGTGGACCACTGCATGGTATCTGGCTGTCTCTGCTAGTGGACCAGTCCAAAAATGGACCACTTGAAGGTCTCCGGATGTTTATGCAAGTGGACCACTTCCGGTTCAAGAGATTAATGCTTAGGCTACAACGAATCGCGTTTGGTTTTACCTGGAGAGAGTTCCGGGGGTCAACGCCCCCCGGTCTGTATGTGTGTATGTATATATATATATATATATTTAATATTATATATATATATAATTATATATATATATATATATATATATATATAGAGAGAGAGAGAGAGAGAGAGAGAGGAGAGAGAGAGAGAGTTAATAAATATAGTAGAGGGTTGAAGAGGGGTTGTTGAGGTGGTTTGGTCATTTAGAGAGAATGGATCAAAGTAGAATGGCATGGAGAGCGTATAAATCTGTAGGGGAAGGCGGGGTAGGGGTCATCCTCGAGAAGGTTGGAAGGAAGGGGTAAGGGAGGTTTTGTGGGCGAGGGGCTTGGACTTCCAGCAGGCGTGCATGAGAGTGTTCGATAGGAGTGAATGGAGACGAATGGTATTTGAGACCTGACGATCTGTTGGAGTGTGAGCAGGGTAATATTTAGTGAAGGGATTCAGGAAAACCGGTTGTTTTTATATAGCCGGACTTGAGTCCTGGAAATGGGAAGTACAATGCCTGCACTCTAAAGGAGGGGTTTGGGATATTAGCAGTTTGGAGGGATATGTTGTGTATCTTTATATGTATATGCTTCTAAACTATTGTGTTCTGAGCACCTCTGCAAAAACAGTGATTATGTGTGGGTGAGGTGAAAGTGTTGAATGATGATGAAAGTATTTTCTTTTTGGGGATTTTCTTTCTTTTTGGGTCACCCTGCCTCGAATACGGACAAGTATTTAGCTATTATTTTTTAATTAATTTTAATTCGTGTATTAGATATTTTAATTCTATGGGGTGGATGTGAACACTTTCCAAACTCTGGCTTAGATTTAGTGTAAGGAATGTTCGTTTCGTAGTCGCTTTAGTGTTGATACACTCATGACAATAATGCCCCTTGAAGTCAGTCTACGTCACTCCTTGTCGGTCCATCCCACTTCTCTACAAACTGGCTTTGACAAGGGCTTACTCAAGCCAGTTTGTGGCAAAACGTTGTACTAATTGGTTGCAAAAGTCTTAGCAATAAAGTCTCTTCTGCAGTGACCGTCTTACCATTGCCATTTCTCCATTACAATAGCCATTTCTCCGACATTTCTCTGTGTTACCATGACCATAACTATTTCTCCGTAATCTTGACTGGGCGAGTCATAATATGACTTAAGACACGTGTCAGGTAACACTTGTCCTGTTTCCTGACAAAACTTACGTAATCTTGACTGGGCTGCATGTTTTTACTTGTTTTACGAACACGCGAGATGATAGGTAAATGTTACGACTGTCCACTTACACTCATCTTATCTTCACTTTCTTGTTTTCTTTCACATTTCTCAGTCCTATCAAATCTCTTTTAGAGCCTAGGAGAGCTGGTCTGAGGCCGGGATCTCTGGAGAGCTGGTCTGAGGCCGGGATCTCTGGAGAGCTGGTCTGAGGTCGGGATCTCTGGAGAGCTGGTCTGAGGCCGGGATCTCTGGAGAGCTGGTCTGAGGCCGGGATCTCTGGAGAGCTGTCTGAGGCCTGGATCCGCTGGCTAGTACGAATTCCCTGGCCCTGGACCATAAACAAGCAGTTGTAAACTCTCTGGGATTTCTCACTTACAGTTTACAGCAAATTTCTTGATTTACGATATTTACAATACGTTATGTTTGGTTATTTATTTACCTTTGATATACCTTTGATGAGCTTCGAGAGATTTTCTGCTCCCGAGGCCCGGTCTTGTACCAGGCTCGTCTGGTGCTCGTTCGGTTAGATTGTCCTCTATCCATAAAAAATATTCAATTATAACCTACCTCAGCGGCAATATATGAAATATAAGATAAAGGTTATAGAAAGTTGTGATTAACGAAGAGAAAGTAGTGACCCAGCCACCACTGTAGAAGTAGGGACCCAGCCACCACTGTAGAAGCAGTGACCCAGGCACCACTGTAGAAGTAGTGACCCAGCCACCACTGTAGAAGTAGTGACCCAGCCACCACTGTAGAAGTAGTGATCCAGCCACCACTGTAGAAGTAGTGACCCAGCCACCACTGTAGAAGTAGTGATCCAGCCACCACTGTAGAAGAAGTGACCCAGCCACCACTGTAGAAGTAGTGACCCAGCCACCACTGTAGAAGTAGTGACCCAGCCACCACTGTAGAAGTAGTGAACCAGCCACCACTGTAGAAGTAGTGATCCAGCCACCACTGTATAAGTAGTGACCAGCCACCACTGTAGAAGTAGTGACCCAGCCACCACTGTAGAAGTAGTGACCCAGCCACCACTGTAGAAGTAGTGACCCAGCCACCACTGTAGAAGTAGTGACCCAGCCACCACTGTAGAAGTAGTGATCCCAGCCACCACTGTAGAAGTAGTGATCCAGCCACCACTGTAGAAGTAGTGACCCAGCCACCACTGTAGAAGTAGTGACCCATCCACCACTGTAGAAGTAGTGATCCAGCCACCACTGTAGAAGTAGTGATCCAGCCACCACTGTAGAAGTAGTGACCCAGCCACCACTGTAGAAGTAGTGACCCAGCCACCACTGTAGAAGTAGTGACCCAGCCACCACTGTAGAAGTAGTGATCCAGCCACCACTGTAGAAGTAGTGACCCAGCCACCACTGTAGAAGTAGTGATCCCAGCCACCACTGTAGAAGTAGTGATCCAGCCACCACTGTAGAAGTAGTGACCCAGCCACCACTGTAGAAGTAGTGACCCAGCCACCACTGTAGAAGTAGTGATCCAGCCACCACTGTAGAAGCAGTGATCCAGCCACCACTGTAGAAGTAGTGACCCAGCCACCACTGTAGAAGTAGTGACCCAGCCACCACTGTGGAAGTATGATCCAGCCACCACTCTAGAAGTAGTGACCCAGCCACCACTGTAGAAGTAGTGACCCAGCCACCACTGTAGAAGTAGTGATCCAGCCACCACTGTAGAAGTAGTGACCAGCCACCACTGTAGAAGCAGTGACCCAGCCACCACTGTAGGAAATGAGTGACCCAGCCACCACTGTAGAAGTAGTGACCCAGCCACCACTGTAGAAGTAGTGACCCAGCCACCACTGTAGAAGTAGTGACCCAGCCACCACTGTAGAAGTAGTGACCCAGCCACCACTGTAGAAGCAGTGATCCAGCCACCACTGTAGAAGTAGTGATCCAGCACCACTGTAGAGGTAGTGATCCAGCACCACTGTAGAGGTAGTGATCCAGCCACCACTGTAGAAGCAGTGATCCAGCCACCACTGTAGAAGCAGTGACCCAGCCACCACTGTAGAAGCAGTGACCCAGCCACCACTGTAGAAGCAGTGATCCAGCCACCACTGACAAGCAGTGATCCAGCCACCACTGTTCAAGCAGTGATCCAGCCACCACTGTAGAAGCAGTGATTCAGCCACCACTGTAGAAGCAGTGATCCAGCCACCACTGTAGAAGCAGTGATCCAGCCACCACTGTAGAAGCAGTGATCCAGCCACCACTGTAGGAGCAGTGATCCAGCCACCACTGTAGGAGCAGTGATCCAGCCACCACTGTAGAAACAGTGATCCAGCCACCACTGTAGAAGCAGTGATCCAGCCACCACTGTAGAAGCAGTGATCCAGCCACCACTGTAGAAGCAGTGACCCAGCCACCACTGTAGAAGCAGTGACCCAGCCACCACTGTAGAAGCAGTGATCCAGCCACCACTGTTGAAGCAGTGATCCAGCCACCACTGTAGAAGCAGTGACCCAGCCACCACTGTAGAAGTAGTGACCCAGCCACCACTAGAAGCAGTGATCCAGCCACCACTGTAGAAGCAGTGACCACCACCACTGTAGAAGCAGTGACCCAGCCACCACTGCTAGAAGCAGTGACCAGCCACCACTGTAGAAGTAGTGACCAGCACCACTAGAAGCAGTGACCCAGCCACCACTGTAGAAGCAGTGACCCAGCCACCACTGTAGAAGCAGTGA